AAAACTGGGATTGAGGAGTTTGAGATAAACTAGAAGAGATTGAACAGGACTGAAAGTCCAAAGGAAATTGGGATTCCTATTTAGCTTTAGAGTCTGTGATTTTAAAGCTTATAAATAGATCCATAGATACATAGAAAAAAAGCACACAGAAAGTATACACAGAAAAAGAAAGAAAAGAAGGAGAAGCAGAAGCAAAGAAAGAGTGTTTAACACTTTTAGGAAGTTTAGAAATATTTTTGAAATTTTTGGCTTTGTTTTTTTTTTTGAAAATTTCCAGAATTTGATGGAATTTCTCACGAAAATTCAAGTTTTTCGATGATTGTCCGATGAGAAACCCAGTTTCCGACGATATAACCCAAAAATCGATGATTTTTTTGACGACATTCAACCAGAAACAGTGACCAAAAATTGCCTAGAGAAAGAAGGAGCAGAGAAGAGAGAAAGAACACGGAGAAACATCTGAGGAAAGAAAAATTTTTTTCCTTTTATACATAAACTAAACGACATCGTTTTGAGTCAGTACTTAAACAGGATTTGCGCATTTTGCCAAGATCCGACTTGACTCGTAACGCAACCCAAACCAACAACTCGCGTCCTTGCCTGAGCTGCAGCCGAGCTGATCCAAGCTGATTTCCTGCCAAGTTGCACCTTTGAGCCATTTTTTGTGTCTGGAGCTGAGCCACATCAACCCTAAGGCGAGCCATTTTTTATTTTTTTGGTAGTTTTTTATTTTTTATGTGCTTGTTTATTTATTTATTATTATTATTTTATTTATGTGTTTGTTTATTTTTTTAAAAAGTATTTTTGCATGAAAAAATTAAAAAAAAAACATTTTTGAGGAAAAATTGAAAGTATTAATTTTTCTTAAAATAAAATTATTAAAAAAATATTTGAGGAAAAGTTGAAAGTATCAATTTTCTTGGAAATTAAAATTTAAAAAAAAAAGGTTTTTTTGAGAAAAAGTTGAAAGTATCAATTTTCCTTGAAATTAGAATTTAAAAAAAAAGTATTTTGAAAAAAAGTTGAAAGTATCAATTTTTTTTGTACAAAAGCAATGAATTTTTTTTTAAATGAAAGGAAAAGGATTTATATTAAATGTTGATTCATTATTCTTTTTTTTTTTATTATATTTCTTTTTTTTTCTTTTCTTGAAAATTTTTTAATGTTAAATAATCTGACGATGGAGTCTCTACAAGTGAAATAGTAATTTTCTTATATACTCTTGAGGTGAGAGATTTTTTTTAATTTTCTGTCAAAAGTATTGGAGTTAATTAAGAATAATTTTCAATAATTAATTATTTGGTAAAATTTTTAAGGCTTATCGGATAACACGAAATTAAGTTGGTATCATCTTTCAATGGGCGTTGTGAGGGTGCTATAACCATCCTCACTCGTAACCGAACTCTCGAATCTTATTCTGGTTAATACACCCGGACCTATTCTTTTAGGGACTCTTAAGCTTAGGTGTTTCTTGAAAAGATAAATTCCTTAGGTGATCAATTGCACCTAAACAAAAAAAATTGGTGGCGACTCCCTAAGTCAATGTCTAGCGATAGGTCATCGGATCTAAACGTTATGGCACAGAGAATAAAAGAATCAGATTGTCAAAGAATAAGCAGTGGAGAAGGAAGCAGATAACCGTTTTTGTAGACAGCATTCATCCAAAAGGCAATGAACGTGACCTATGGAATCTGATAATGCAGTATGGTAGAATATTGGATTTCTATATCCTTCTAAACCAACGAAAGCCAAGACGAAGCAATTTTGATTTTTTCAGGCTTAAGGATCTCAGGGAGGCTCTGACCGTTTCTAGAGCATTAGACAGTTTCAACTGGAATGGTTGGAGGCTTAGGGTTGGTCTGGCCAAATACAGCAGGGAGTTCAAACAACAACCAGGTAGGTTTACACATGACAGAAAGGATGCAAAAACTCTTGGTCCGTTATGGTCTTCTAAGGGGACTGAAAAAATATCTTATGCTGAAATGGTGGAAAGAAAGCCCATGATCTAAAATAGGAAAGAGTTAACATACGAAGAAAGGACGAGTTCAAATAAGATCAAGGGGCCGCACATGGAAACTCCAAACACCCTAGATTCCGTTATTTTGGAAGATGAAGAGCTTGATTTGGATTCGTTGGATAGATGCGTTGTCACAGAAGTGAAGAACCTGCAAGCAGTACATATGCTTTAACGTCATATCCTGAGTCAAAGAGTTCTACGCTTCTCAATAACAGTTAAGGGGGAAGTATGGTCTTGTTGACCTTTGAGTCCAGAGAAGAAATGCTTGGCATCTTGGAGGATGGAAATAAGTGGCCGAGCGAATGGTTCTTTTGGACCAAGCCATGGAGTCCCAAATTGGTTTGTCTAGATAAATTTGTATGGCTAAAGCTGGGAGGAGTCCTTTTGCATGCATGTTTTTATGAATTCTTTAAGAAGGTTATAAATTAGTGGGGGTGTTTCATCACTATCAACGACAGCAAAATGAATAAAAAGAGATTGGATACCGCTAGAGTATTATCATTGATTAGAAACAATATCTCTATTCCAAGCAATTTAGGTGCAGGGAAAAAAATTCCTCATTAAAGTAGCAATTGAAGAGGGTCCAGATTTTCTCTGGAAAATGGAAGTTAAACAGACTAGCAAAAATAAAGCTAAGTCCTCATCATCCAACTCTAAGTCTTATACAAAATCGATGGATGATAACATGTGGAAAGCAGATCACCATGAGTTCATTTCTGGTCATAGTCCGATCAGTAATCGTTGCATGGAGGAAGAAGACGAACAGGCAGTGTTTGTAAAGAAGTTTGAAAAACAGCCCATAATCGGGAAAATTCATACATAATGATGGTGAGTTAAATGTGTTGCCTAATTTAAATGATACCCGAATTCATGGTGCTGTGGAAGTTTGGAGCAAAGGTTGATAACAATGGAGGAAATCGGGTGGAGAGCCTTCGTGATCAAATTGGGTCGCCCATTCGAGGCCTAATTAAAACAAGAAAGGAATTGGGTCACCCTGATTCAGAGAACGATGGACCTTCAAAGTCTACAATCGGCCCTCATGGATCACACAATGAAGATTTTCACCTAGTTACGGATAACAGCTCTGTCGTGGAAAGGATTTAGTCAACAATTTTAAGGACAGATGATAAGAAACAGGGAAGATGGAGCTGACTTCGAAGAACATGATTACAGGGGCAGGCAGAAAGGGAGGAGAGCTCTCAGGTTGGATCTTCTAAATGCCGACTTAGGAAGAATAAATAAAGTGGTGAATTGACAAAAAAAAAAAAACAAAAACAAAAACAAAAGGCAAAAGAACACCGACTAATAAGAGGGGACAGGAAATGATAGAGTAAAGCAGCACTTTATGGAAGGAGCCAATATCTCTGATGATGACATTAGAAGCAGAAACAGACCACTATGCCAAGAGGCCTTAAAAACTCTTAAAAGTGGGGAGGCTTTTGGGCCTAACATCTGAAGCCTCGGATGAGGAGATCATCAGCAAACTGATAAGCATGGAGAAAAGCGACGGGGAAGGTACTCTTTAAACTCTCCTATTTCTGTCATTCGTTTTTTCTCATTTATGGGGGGAACCGACTATTTAATTATGAAGATGATATCTTTTAACATTAGGGGAATGGGTATGAAGGAAAAGAGAAATGCGCTAAGAAAGCTTATTTCAAAAGAAAAACCTTATATGGTTTCCATTCAAGAAACAAAGCTTCGGGGATTTCAGGTACGATGGTACACCAAATTTGGGCAAAAAAAGTGTTAAATTTGATCACAAGGATGCATGCGGCCAGTCGGGAGGTTTATTAAGTATGTCACCAGAAGATCGCTTTCATACCTTCACCAATACAGTCAAGGAAAGGTTGATCTGGATTAAAGGAAAATTTGCCTCAAGTCAGGAGAATGTTAACTTGTTAAACTTGTTTGCCCCCAATGAGGTTAGGGAGAAGAAGGCCTTTTTTGAAGAAGTGGCAACGGCAATAACTAGTGGGGAATATTAGTGTCCTACCTGGGACTTCAACGCGGTTCTGAATGAAGAAGAGAGAATTGGGGTTTTTGATGTGACCAGATCATCTTATGACTTCAACGAGTTTGTGCAATCTTATGGATTGATGGATTTACCGCTGTGTGGTAGGAAGTTCACGTGGTGTAGAAAGGCTAATGCTACAGCGACGACTCGGTTGGACAGGTTTCTGAGATCTCGGAATTGGTTATCTGCTTATTCCTCCATTAATCAGTGGAGTTTAGAATGCTCGATATCGGATCATGTAGCTATTTGTCTCGGTATTGATAACATTGACTGGGGCCCAAAACCTTTCAAAGTATTTAATCACTGGCTTGATAATGATGATTTCAACAAATTGGTGGAGGAAAATTGGAGAAATTATAAGGTTGAAGGTTTTGCTGGCTTTAGAATTCATCAGAAGCTGAAACTCATGAAAAAAGGATATAAAGTAGTGGAATGGATACAGAAAATGGGGGTGTATCGGAGGAAATTGCAGCTATGGAAAAGGAAATTGTTGGTCTGGAAAAGGCACATGAAGAATGCCCCACTGATGCTGGGATCAGTTCATTAATTAATTCCAAAAGAAAAGAACTTTGGCCTTCAAAGCATTGAAGAAAGGACATGGAGGCAAAAAGCAAGACTGAAAAGGGAGCAAGAGGGAGATAAGAATACGAATTTTTTCATTGTATGACCGATAGTTGTTGGAGAAACAACTTTCTGGGACATATCTCCTTTAGGGGCAGGTAACTTAGCAATCCTAAAGAGATCAAGCATGCAGTTGAGATTCACTTCAGAGATCACTTTGTAAAAGTCCCCGTTCCTGCCTGTGCTTTTCCCAATTTGGAGGTTAGTAAGCTATCAAACTATCAATCTCATCAATTAGAAGTTCCATTCTCGGTAAAGGAAGTTTGGGCAGCAGTAAATGACTGTAATGGTGACAAAGCTCCGGGTTCTAACGAATAGAATTTCAATTTCATAAGGCAAAAGTAGATGATTCTGAAAGACGATATTAGGGACTTTCTTCATGAATTTTACACTAATGGAAAGATCCTGAAAGGCATCAATTGTTCTTTTATTGCCTTGATTGCCAAGAAGCAGTGTGTCAAATCATTTAAGGATTTTTGCCTCATATCTTCAATTGACAGTATCTACAAAATAATTGCAAAAACACTTGCTAACAGGTTGAAGCAAGTCATGGGGTCCCTCATCCATCCTACTCAATCGGCATTTGTGGAGAGAAGACAAATCATGGACTGCATCTTGATTGCTAACGAAGTAATTGATTCAATCAGGAAAAAAAACAGAGGGTGGACTGGTCTTCAAACTCGACTTACTGAAAAGCTTTCAATATGTGGACTGGGACTTCCTACTCTCTATTATGAAACAAATGGCCTTTGGTAATAACTGGATCAGTTGGATATTAGGCTGCATCTCCACGGCATCTATCTCGATGCTCATAAACAGTTCCTCATCTAAGAGAGGATTCCAGCAAGGCAACCCACTATCTCCATATTTATTTCTCATTTTGGCCGAAGGTCTAAGCTCTCTTCTACGTAACGCAGTCTCAATTGGTATTCTTTAGGTATTAAAGTGGGTCGAAGCAACCTGCAAATCTCTCATCTGCAATTCGCAGATCTCACAATTATCTTCTGCCAGCCCTTGGAGGATCAACTTCTAATGATCAAAAGGATTCTTCAATGCTTTCAGATGGTTTTGGTTTAGAGGTTAATTTTAAGAAAAGTGCGCTTCTGGGTATCAAAGTGGATCATCAGCTTATCGAAGAGTGGGCCTCAAAAATCTATTGCCAGGTTGATTCTTTGCCTACTGAATACCTTGGCATCCCTCTGGGGCCTAATCCGAGACTGTCCTCTACCTGGCAGCCCATCGTAGAATCTGTCAAAAGCAAACTCAGTCTGTGGAAATGCAAGTTTCTACCCCTGCAGGAAGAGTAACTTTGATTGAATTAGTTCTGGCAAACCTCCCATATATTATATGTCCTTATTCAAAATTTCAAAGGGAGTTGCGGTTGAACTGGAAAAACTTCAACGGAAATTCTTTTGGAGTGACCTTGATGATAAAAAAAGTTGGGTAGTCTTGGTATTTTAAATGTGGAATTTTGTAACAAGGCACTGTTGCTAAATGAATCAATACTTATAACACACTCTCAATCTCCTCTAGTCCTATGAAGTATTCTCTACCCAAACAAACACAAACCCAAACTCTTGTGCACCCTTTCAACATAACCAAACACATACCCATATGCTCCCATACATCATACTTATGTGGACCCTCTCAGTCTCCTCTAGTCCACTCACAAACAAACATACACACCCATAAGACGTAGAGCCCCAATACTCTTATGGGGTGTCTATCCCACAAAACCCTACAACTATCTTACATCTTTTTCTCATACCTAACCCTGTAGAGACTTCACCTATTTATAACCATACAAACTTACCCATTAAGAATCCCTCTCCTCTTAGAACTCTTCTCTTGCAAGTCAAACTTACCTATTAAGAATCCTCTTTCTCTTGGAATTCTTCTTTTGCAAGTATTCTTGTCCATCAAGCAATATCTGATAAATCTCAAACAAATCTCTAACAAATCTCTAACAAATCTCTTATGGGATTTGAGTCAATATTCCCAACAATCTCCACCTTGACTCAAATCATCAATCATCTGTCTTCATGTTAGACATTCATGGCTCTACCTGCAATGGAAGTCTTACAATCATTTTCTCTTCTCTTGTGTCTTCACGCTTCATACAAACCAATTCTCAAAACTTGAACTCGAACTCTTCTCTTGAATCGAGCTCCGTCTAAGCTTACTTCTTCTCATATTTCAACCAAGCTCTTCCCATTATCTCGAACTGTCAACTCCTTCCCATGTCTCGAACCATCAGCTCTTCCCACATCTCGAACATTTGACTCTTCTCACGTTCGAACTTTCAGCTCTGATACCATTTGTTGGGTTAAAAGCCTCCAATCCAATCACACCAACGGAAGCGAAATCAAATAATAAATCAAACACACAATAGATAATAATTTAACGTGATTCGGTCCAACTGACCTACATCTACGGATGAGAAACAAGATCCACTAGTTGTAGAGAATTACAAACTTACATCAAATCATCAACCTCATTCTACAATCAATACTTATAACACACTCTCAATCTCCTCTAGTCCTATGAAGTATTTTCTACCCAAACAAACACAAACCCAAACTCTTGTGCACCCTTTTAACATAACCAAACACATACCCATATGCTCCCATACATCATACCTATGTGGACCCTCTCAGTCTCCTCTAGTCCACTCACAAACAAACATACACACCCATAAGACGTAGAGCCCCAATACTCTTATGGGGTGTCTATCCCACAAAACCCTACAACTATCTTACATCTTTTTCTCATACCTAACCCTGTAGAGACTTCACCTATTTATAACCATACAAACTTACCCATTAAGAATCCCTCTCCTCTTAGAATTCTTCTCTTGCAAGTCAAACTTACCTATTAAGAATCCTCTTTCTCTTGGAATTCTTCTTTTGCAAGTATTCTTGTCCATCAAGCAATATCTGATAAATCTCAAACAAATCTCTAACAAATCTCTAACAAATCTCTTATGGGATTTGAGTCAATATTCCCAACAAAATGGCGGTGGAGATTTGCAAGAGAACCAAAATCTTTATCGAGACAAGTCATCTGCGACAAGTACAATCTTCCATCGGTTATGTTGTGGCCTAATCCCTGTCCGAACAATACCCTTTCTCGTATATGGAGAGACATTCAGAACAATTGGCACTTAGATTCTTTATCTAACTTCATAAATTCTAGTTTTTCTATCAGGCGATGGTTCAAAAATTCGCTTTTGGGCAGACAAATGGTTCAATGGTTTTATACTAAAAACCTTATTTTTGTCACTAAACAAAAATGGATTTGTTAAAAGATTTTGGTTATTGGGAAGGATCAACCTGGGTTTGGAAGATTGTTTTAAGGCGGGATCTCTTCGATTGGGAGGTTGGTGTGTGGAATCAGTTATTGGAGCTTTTAAATTCATTCACGTTATCTCCATATGCTACTGACAAAGTTACCTTGACTCACTCGTCACATGGCGTCTTCACCCCTTGTTCATTCAGGCAGGCTTTGGAGTTATCTACAAACTTAAAAGTTCAAACTGAAAGCTTCATTTGGAAAGAGATCGCACCACCAAATGTAGAAATCTTCTGCTGGCGGGCTATCAAAGGGAAGCTGCCGGTGTTCGAAGTTCTCCACAAAAGAGACTGCAGTATTTCATCTAGAAATAAGTGTCTTTTGTGATGACGTGGAAGCAGTAGATCATCTTGTTGTTACGTGTAATAATTCTTGGCTGTTATGTAATAAATGTCTGCACTAGTGGAACATCTTCTATGTTGTTCCTAGTTCGCTCAAACTTGCATTCCAATCATGGTGCTCAGTTCCGATAAAGCCAGATCAGAAAATGATTTGGGACAGTCTCTTCTTCGCTGTTGCATGGTCCATTTGGCTCGCACGCAATGAGATTACTTTCAATCAAAATTCCCTTTCACGGAACATATTTTTTTACTTGATCTGCATCAAAGTTGGCTGGTGGTTACAGGTAAAAGCCCTTCTCTGTGTTCTTCCCACTAGACTCGTTGGTCTCAATGCACGATATCCACATCCCCGACGTAAAGAAGTCTCCTCGACAGCATATATCCTGGTCTTCTCCTTTGATGGGATTTTGGAAGATTAACGTGGATGGTTCTGCAATTGGAAAACCTGGCCCTACTGGTGTTGGAGGGGTGATCCGAGATTGGTCTGGCGAGGTAATTCTTATGTTTTCAAAGTACATTGGTTTAGCAGACTAAAATTTGGCTGAGTTTCAGGTTGTAGTGGAAGCTTTATCGATCTTAGTAGAAGCAAAACCAAGTCCAATACCAAATCTTATAGTGGAAAGCAACTCAAAAGTTATCATCCCTTGGCTAAAAATGATGAATGACAAGCCCTGGAGATATAACACGATTTTTAACAAACTCCTCAATTTCCTCGCAGGCATTTGAAAGGTTTCTTTTGTTCATATTTTAGAGAAGCTAATAGATTTATGGACTTCCTTGTTAAGTAAGGTGTGTTTCGTGACTGTGACTTGATTGCTTGGTTGTAACTTGTTTATCCCCTTTTATTAATAGAATGTCCCTTTATCTTTAAAAAAAAAAAATCAAGTGTTTAAAAAACGTTAATTAAAGCTGAGACCTTAGAGGATTTTTTTTATTTTATTTATTTTTCAGTTTTGAGATTTTTTTTTTTTTTTTTGCCAGATGTTTCGAGAGTTGAAGTAATTAAGTTGAGGTATCCCGTAGGATAGAAAAGAATTGATTCTACGAGGGGCATCAAGCCATCATCGTGGGACATGGATGCCCTGGATGAGCTTCTAGCCGGCAGCGATGCACGACTCTACTCTTGATGACTACTCTTGATTTAAGGTGCACGTGGCGCCATCTTTCACCACAGACAAATCCCCACACGTGCTACGACTTTCACCTTATTTATTTATTTATTATTTATATAGATGCGAACTGCAGTTCCTTACAAAACCCAAAGTTTCAATGTTGTAGCTTTTGATGCTCCTAAACAGCACATGATCGTCCTAGCATTCCCCTAGTCGAACTGCTAATTGATTCATTTTGCGGCCAATTATCTACAACATTTTGGCCCTCTCCACCTTTGCTGTGTGGTGGAAGACATGGGGAGGGCGCCTTGTTGTGAAAAGGTTGGGTTGAAGAAGGGGAGATGGACGGCGGAAGAGGATGAGATATTGACCAAGTATATTCAAGCTAATGGAGAAGGCTCCTGGAGATCATTGCCTAAGAATGCAGGTATATAACCAAAGCTATTCTTTCTATTTTTCCCATTCTTGTGTTTTTTGCGTGGTTGTGATCATATCTGGCCTCTCCTTACTCTTTTGGTTTGCGTATTGATTTGTGTTCGATCGGTTTGGCATTTGAAGGATTACCGAGGTGTGGGAAGAGTTGCAGACTCAGGTGGATTAACTACTTGAGAGCTGACTTGAAGAGGGGAAACATTACTGTCGATGAGGAAGAAATCATCATTCATTTGCATGCTACTTTGGGAAATAGGTTTGCGCGGCATTTTTCCTCCTTTGCTCTCCATAGCCAAAAGAAAACAGAAACCAGAAAACTAACTATCTCTGTTACATAATAAAAAAAAAACATTTGAATTCTTAAAACACAGACTACAGTTATTGTAATTTTTCTTTTTTGAGTGACGACAAAGTGTTCTTTATTTTCCATGGATGAAAAAAGTTAGTACTAGATGTAATCAACCATGGTTAATTTTTCGACCTTTGGTTCTTTCAGTTCTTTTGAACTGTATATGCTATCATTTTCGGTTTATATCAGCTCATTTTTAAGCTCTCCTTTAATTTCTGCGGTTGGGAAAGAACTTAACTACACTAAAAGAGACAGCAAACTTTTGATAAGGCCTTTTAGCTGCACAATTAATTATGATATTTATTGCTTAACTGGTTTTTTTTGGTGCATTTTAATTTATTCTTTTGCTAGAATTTTTGCCTTTATTTTTGCTTCCATGCAGGTGGTCTTTGATTGCCAGCCACTTACCAGGAAGAACGGACAACGAGATAAAGAACTATTGGAACTCTCATTTGAGTAGAAAAATCGATAGCTTTAGAAGGCCGTCGAGTCAAAGTTTGCCTGTTATCATGGAAATAAACAAGGACGGTATTGCTAAGCAGAAAGGCGGTAGAACAAGTAGATGGGCAATTAAGAAAAACAAAAGCAACAGCACCCAGAAAAGAGCTGGCAGTTGTTCAAATAAACCTATGGAAAACGTCTCTGTTAATGGAGTTGTGCCATTGCCATCCACCCTAATGTTGGAAAAAGAAACCTTGTTCAACACTGCTATAGAAGATCGCATGGCACTGGATCCCTATGAAGAAGATAAGGAGAGAATGATCCCTGTTATACTGAGTCCTCGTCAAGACACCGGAGAAGGAATGATGGGTTCAAGCGAGGAGAGAGAGAGCCTGGTTCTTAGCTCTGGTGAGGAAAGAACCATAGAGAATTCAATGCATTGCGCTAGTGGTAAGGTTGAGAAAGAGACTGATATTTTAGCAACATTTGAAAGTATTGAAAGCAGTGGGATCCTTTGTTTTGATGACATCATGGACAATGAATTGCTACATCCAAATGGGGATTTGACCTTATTAAGCGAGTGGAGAGAGAACAACATCACTGTTACTGTTGACGAGAAAGAGAACAGTGGAAATTTGAGCCCGAACAAAACAGCAGCTAATAACGAGGAAATAGAAAGTGGAAACTCTAGTGGAGATAGTGGGAACTGGAATTCCTCTTCTTCAATGACTTCGTTTGATAATTATAATCTTGATAATCTTGATTGGGTTTGGGAGAGTGTGGTTCAAGGGAATGAGCTTTGGGATGATAAGGGGTGCATGTCATCTTGGCTGTGGGAGAGCGATTGTAATGGGAAAGGAGAGAGACATAAATCGGAAGATCGTAAGGACTTCAAGAGCCAAAATTCCACGGTTGATTGGCTTTTCTTTTAGTGCTTTCTTCTCCTGATCTCTTTCTTCATGCTGCTATCTCTTTTGCTTTCGTTTCTTAATTAATTGTTTGTTCACTTGGATGTCGACAATGAGCTAGTCGGTAGCAACAAAACCGTGTCCTTTTTTTTTTTTTTGGGTTTTTGTTTTTCTTCCGAATCCTGATGCTTGTTTTTTTTTTTTTTTTTCCAATTCCATTTTGTTTGTAAAAAAAATTGATGGTGAAAAACATTAATTGAAAGATCATTCTCAACTCTCAACGTTTAGCTACTAGTACTATATTGCAACAACCTTTTGCGGATAGATAAACTCGTAACAAAGACTTGTTTCGCAAAATAATATCGGGGTCATTGGCCCTTGGTCCCGATGGCGGTAGGCCCTGCATGCTGTTTCCGGAAGAGTCTTCCCATTTGTATTTTATATTCTGTTTTGGATAAGTACAAAGTTATTTTTTAAAAATTTTTGAGTTTTTTATTAAATTAATTTAATTAAAATTTTAATAAAAATATAAATTAATATATTAATAAAATTTAATAAAAAAATAAGTAATATATAAAAAATATACTGTTGAAATTAAATTTAATCAGTATTTATCAAATAGTAAAAATTTTATCAAATTTTTATTAAAAATACCTATCTAAAAAATATATCAAAATTTATTAAAATTAACATATTTAATCTATATAATAAGAATTATTAATTTGTTAATTTTTATTTTAAATTTTAAATTTTATTTATTGATTTTAATAAAAAATTTTATAAACTTCGCTTAACAAATTTTATATCAATCTTTTTTTTTTCCTCATTTCGATCATCTCATGATAAATCTGAATATTCCCTTAAAATCCCCTTTTGGATTATTGTATATATTTGTTTTCTTTGTATAGCGCTTATAACTAGTTTTGTTTCATTTGTGTAATTGCAGTGAAGCAAAGCAAGACCAATTTTTAGTTTTTTCTTTAACTCCAATCCGGGGGAGTTTAGATATATTTGGAGATGAATCTGCTTACAACTCTAAAGGTGCATTTAAATTTGAAAATTTGTATATTTTTATTATATTTATTTTATATTAAATATATATAAAATATAAAATTATACTATCATAATTCATATTTAAATGTTAAATTCAAAATATATTTTTATTTTTATTAAAATCTATATACTATTTTTATTAATTTTAAATGGGTTATTTTATAATTTTTATATTATTTTCATATAGTATATGTATTATTGTATGTCTAAAATTATCAAATTTAAGCGTAATTAACTGCAGCTAGCTAGTTAGGAGTGCATGGACCTCAGAGTTTGTAGAATAGCTAGCCAGTGGCAAGGTAGGATTAGTTAGCAGCAGTTTGGTTGGCAAGTTACTTAACTCAGCTAGTCTAGTGGCTTGAAATTGGTTATGGAGGGAAGGGCAGCTGTCCATGAAACTATCAGAGAGGGACTGATATGGTTTGACTCTTATCGATCGAGCCAGAGGGAATGCAATGTCAGTGAAACATGAGTTGGGAAAAGAAGTAAATATATAAACAAGAAAACAACTCTTTGTGGGGTTTATTTATTGACAAATGTCTAATATTAGACAATGATTCTTTCAAACTTTTTATATTTATAGATTAGGTTAATATGTAAAATGCTTTTTTATTATATATTTTTTGTAATTTGGTTTTTAAAAAAATAAAATTTTTACTTTAATACTTTAATTTTTATTTCATCAAATATTTTAATACTTCGTATTATTATTGTTAGTTAAGTGTATGACGTGGTACAAATACTCAATAAAATCATTCTACAAATCATTAATGTTCAGTTATCATCATGTAAACTATTATCATTTTAGCACAAAATTTATTTTTTCCTCCCTTTCCTTAATTCTTTCCTTTTCTCTTTTTCAAAAAGTTTTTTTAAGACCCAACAACCTCATTTAAAGCTCTTATTTTTTAAATATTAAATTTAAAACAATGTCATTAAATTAGACATGAATTCTTATATTTAGAGCCTTAATAGTTTATGCTCTCTCTTTTTCGTCATTTGAAATATTGCTTTGCAAGATAGTTTGAAGCTTCAATTTTGAAGCCAATTGATTGAGTCATATAAAATGTAGAGAATGATAGTTCAACATAAAGGCTATTCTATGCAATATTTTTGTTGAAATCATTACTTTTATAACATTTAAGTTGGGAGAACCTACCTATTAGATAAAAAAATATGGAGTCATTATCAATCTTTTTTAGTTATGTGTAATTAGTTACCTACGTAAATCTATTCTTTTTAAGGTTATCCTAAATGTAAAATGAGGGTCTTTAAAAATAATAGATTCTGGTCTATATCATTAGAACTAAAGTTTGGGATCAACAATGATCTTTATCATGCAAATCAAAATCAATTCCTATCCTTTATTTATTTACACACCATGGTGACACAAAAATTCTATCAAAATATTATGCAATCATGTAATAAATATTAAATCATATCATGCACATATTCATACAAGAATGTCATGTAAATATATTAATTATCATGCAATAATATAAAATACTATGCAAATATATAATCATGAAATCAAATATAATCACACAAATATATTAGTAATTATGTAATTAAATAAAATCATGCAATTATGCACACATGCAATTAGATATCATTCAAATATAATATTAATTATGCAATAACATATAATATTATATCATACAATAAATATAAAATCATACCATACAATAAATCATGTAATAAAATATTAGGTAATAAATCATGCAAAAAATCTTACCAAAGCGTTTCTTTTTTGTTCCTTAGCATTTTAAAATCAATCACGGTAAAATATATAAAAAAGTAAAAAAAAAAAATAATGATAGGAAAATCAAAAACCAATAACAAAAATGTTTTACCAAACCATCGGGTCAAGTCATTGGGTATCTACGTTGGTTGCACCATGGTTCATATTGGCCTTAAATCTTCTTGATGCAAATGACACTGTTTTATCAAAGGTTCAAAAATCAATAGCTCTTTTCTTTTTTCACCTTTTTATTTCTTTTTCTGCAAATTCAAACCTGCATCTTCTCTCTAGTTTCTTCATACTTAAAACCCAAAAATCAATTGAAACCACCACCTGTTTCGCCACATTTCTCTACTGTAATCAACACCAAAAACCTCCAATCATTCTCCTCTTCTTTTTTGTTTTTTTTTTCTCTACCTGAAACCTTAACCAAGGACAACCATCATCTCAACCCAGAAACCACTTGTTGTGCTGTCTCTCGTCGGCCATCAACCCAAAAATGTCATAGACCACCACCCTTCTGTCGTACTTCGCTTATTATCACAAAAAAACCATTGTCTTTCTTCCTTTAAAATCAAACCCAAAATTATCAAAAATCAACTGAAACTTCATAGAAGAACCTCGTAAAGACTAAGCAAATTTTTTATTTTTCCTTCAATTTTCTTGCTTGTCTGCTAGTGTCAATTGTTGCCTTTTTTCTGTTTTTTACTAATAAATTTGCTTTGTTATTGAAACTGATTTGGGTTTTGCTGGGTATGGGTTTACCGTCTATGTTTGTGTTTGGTTGTGGGTTTCTTTGCTTTTACGAGTATGGCAACTGGGTATTGGGTTTACCTTCTCAGTTGTTGCTTGGTTAATGGTTATTGAAACTGTGCATGCTGACTTCCGAGTTTGTTGCTTTTTAGTGCTTATTGTTTCATCCTCTAGCTTACGTGGCTAAGGTTGCTATTGAATGTTGATTGTCTGTATTGCGTTTCTACAAATTGCTTTTAAAAATTGGGTTTATTTGACCGATTCTTTGCTATTTGGATTTTCTGGGACTACTGTTGTTTTTGTTAGACTAAAAGGCCCCAATTCAATCACACTAGCAAAAGTAAAATTAAACAATTAATTAATCACATAAGAGACAATAATTTAATATAGTTTGATCCAATCAACCTAAGTCCATATATGAGAAACAAGATCTATTAGTTGTAGAGAATTACAAACATATATCAAATCAATTTCACGAAACAATCAATACCATAGGCCTTCTCAATCTCTACTAGTTCTATGGAGTATTCTCAACCTAAACAAACACAAACCCATATACGCTCATGCATTCATAGTTATGTGGATCATCTCAGTCTCCTCTAGTCCACTCCCAAACATAACATTCATACACACCTGTAAGATGTAAATCACCAGTGATCTTATGGGTTATATGTTTCATAAAACCCTATAACTCACTTATATCTTTTTCTCATACCTAACCCTATAGAGACTTTACCTATTTATAAGCATACAAACTTGCCTATTAACAATCCATTTTATTTTAGAAAATTTTTTTTGTAAGTCAAATTTACCTATCAAGAATCCATTTTTCTGTTATAATTCTTTTTTTGTAAATCTTCTTATTCATCAAGCAATATCTAACAAATCTCAAACAAATTTGTTATGAGATTTGAGTCACTATCCCAAACAATCTTCACCTTCACTCAAATTTCATCAAATCATCTATTTTCATGTTAGACATACTTGGTTCCACTTGAAATGAAAGTCTCATAATCATCTTCTCTTATGTACATTCACGTTTTATGCAAATTGATTATTAATCCTCAAAACATGAACTCAAACTCTTTTCTTAAATCGAGTTCCTCTAGGCTTGCCTCTTTTTATGGCTCGAATCATGCTCTAATACCATTTGTTAGGTTAAAAGGCCCTAATCCAATCACTCTAGTGGAAGCGAAATCAAACAATTAATCAATCACACAAGAGATAATAATTTAACGTGGTTTGGTCCAATCGGCCTACATCCATGGATAAAAAATAAAATTCATTAGTTATAGAGAATTACAAACATACATCAAATCAATCTCATTAAACAATCAATACCCATAAGCCCTCTCATCTCCTCTAGTTCTATGGAGTATTCTCAACTCAAATAAACACAAACTCATATAAACTCATACACCATACCTATATAGACCATATCAGTTTTCTCTAGTCCATTCCCAAACATAGCATTCATACACACCATAAGACATAAATCTCTAATAGTCTTATGGATTGTTTATCTCATAAAATCTTACAATTTTTTTACATAATTTTTTGATACCTAAACCTATAGAGACTTCATCTATTTATAAGCATACAAATTTGCCTATTAAGAATCTATC